TAACTCATTAGCATATGCCACACCCCCTGACATCACCGGAAGTGTGTCCTCCCCACAGCCGGCGGCGACTTCCAGCGGGCACCAGCAGGGAGCTCCAGGCCCCGCCCTCCCGCACCTCACCCGGGGGGATGGCGTCCCCCCGCGTCCCCCCCCAAATGACCCCTGGGGTTGACTAATACACGGGATTATATGAGTTCCTAGCTGCCACCACCTGCAGGACTAAAGAGCAGCAAGACTTTTAAATCTCTAAACTGGTTACCAGTTTGTCAGCTTCTGATCTCTAATCAGCCACTCTCCTAAAAGGCTAGTATTCACTGTCAATAGTTTGGCTAAAAGTAGTATTCATACATGGTAAATATTAGGTTAAGTAGAATCTCTCCTCCCATACACACATACCCTCCAAATCATAATACATAGTTTAATTTTTTTTAAGTTAGGTACATTAACAGAACACAAATACCAGGTTTAATTAAATAGTTATAGAAGTAAAGAGTAATATGGCTCTTTACTGACTGACTGAATATGGCTCAATATGGACATTGTTTTTCAAAATCAGAAATGGCAAGAAGCACCAAGCTCATGCACACACACATGCACACAGTAGGCAGGTATGCCCATGGGAAAAGACAGTAATTTGTCCAAAACCAGGCTCCTTCTGTCCTTCTGGAGAAGATACAGTACTGAAGCACAGCTTCTGCTCACTAATTACTGTAGACTGTGTATCTTAACAAAACTCTTTAACGATATTCATAAAAACCTTTGGTGTTAAACTGACGACAGAACTTGTTCAGGTGATGCCATTTGCAATATGGGGTAGGACAAGTTTGGGCTTGCACATTTTGTATAAACACGTAAACTTGCACTACAAAAATGTACATATAAAGTCAGAGGAAATATATATAAGTTCTATAATTCAGTATTTTAAACTCTGAACTCTCTGTGACATCCTCTTGATTTAATAATACACTATAAACCTATTTATGAAGCTTGTTGTTAATATAAACTAGGTTGTAGTGGTTTAGACAAGCCATTCAAGAAAATCATTTTTATTTAAATTGTGGGAATTGTTTTATTAATTTATGAATGTTTTTACTGTTGTTCACTGCCCTGAGCCCTGTGTATTCAGAGAGGGGTGGTCTATAAATTTAAACTATAAATATTATAAACAAATTTAAAAAATCAACAATAAAAGACCTGCTGAAAAGTAAAGCCACATCAGAAATATGCTTCCTGAAAATATTTTTTTACCTATGTTGGTACTTCTCTTGATTCTTCTTAAGCCAGCTCAATGCTTAAGGGAGATGCATGGTTGTTGATTCAGAGATGAACCACAGGAGAAGCAGAAATAAGTTGTTACTGTCTTGGTTACTTTAGGAAGTGACTTTTGATAAAGTGAAAGTCTGAGCTCCATTGGCTACATTTTTCTTATAATTATATTCGATATCCTGAGCATTTGTAAATGGTGAGTACATGACAACTCAATAATCCTTTTATATACCATCACAGTCCACATACTGTAAAGATAGAGCAGGTGCAAATCTAGATATTTCCACACGATCTCTGGAGAAACAAAGAGCTTTTCTTACTAGCTGTAGCAATATCTATGCATTAATCTTTCTGTGGGTAGCCATTTGTGCTGGAGGCACTCCACACCATTATTATTATGCCAAGAATTTATCATATCCAAAAGCTGCTTTTATCAAATGCTTTTGCTTTCAGCCCATTTAGGCTCACATCTACAGATACAGCTGCTGTACTTGTTTTCTCATCCACTCAGCTATATTTACTGACCCCCCAATAGTTTCTCAGATACAATGTAACATGTTGTGCTGTTACTACTGACATCAATGTACTTAGAAGGGTGACTCTTTTTAGGACTGTATTGTTAGGCAGTCACTTAACACTGCTGATTCGTTACAGCAGAAATCTTCTGTTAGACCATTTTAATATAGTGCAGCAGGATTCTTTTGTATTCACAGAAAATGTGAGATTTGGACTACTTATGTCAAAAATTATTTTGCTGTTTTGTGGAATTGCCATTTTTACATCATTATCATGGTTGTCTCATCCTACAAGCTGCTGCACTAGAACTCATGCTGACAGGACTGGGCATAAGTGCTATGGTGTGCTCATACTGGTGTGGAACTTGGACTGATGTCATCTCTAGCCCTCATGTAGCAATAATAGTAGGTTATATTCTAACACTATTCCAATGGCAAAAGTTTATGTTTCCACTTGGCACTGCATGATAACACAATTTCATCCTGAGTATGTGTCTGCAACTCTGCATGCACGTGTGTATGGGGGGGGGGAGAACTTACATATGACAATATACCTCCCACGGAACCAATGGAATTCTCCTGTACCCTTTCAAATTTTATACAGAGAGGACAAAGGCTCAATTTCAGACTACTAAAATTCCCCCTTGCAGAGTAGGCACAGAGAGGCATGGCAATGAGTTTCTTTTCTGTCTTTTCCTGCTGTCAGGATCCTGATGCAGACAGATGTTGGAGATTGTTTTTCAAAATCAGAAATGGCAAGGAGCACCAAGCTCATGCACGCACAAACAAATAAGTTATCTGCGGTTCATGCGGATATAATCTGAAGTGACGAATACACACCTTCCATGTCAAAGAATTCCCAAGTGTTATAAATATGCATATAGGATTTTCTTCACAAAATTAAGATTTTCGTTAATTCTGGTTTCATCAACTTATAAATTTCCATTAAAGCTAGCTGCATTGCTACTTGGATTTACCAAAACCGACAGCAAAAGTAATAATTATTGCCAATATATGGAGAAGGAACAGACCATTTACGCACTATGAATATGCATGCCAGCGTGTAGTTTGTGAGGCACACTTGTTTTGGATGTACATTGTCACCAGAATACTAACAGTTTTAAATATGTAAAACATCAATTTTAACATTAAACAATTACTTTTTGAGACTGTGAAATGCAGTTTATAATTGAACAGAAAATTGTACAGCACCTAACTTCATATGCCAGTTTGAGATCTAAATGCCATTTAAACCAAATGCATTGCTACTCAGATATTCCAAAAATCTACTAAAAATCTTTAAACCTCTTGGCAGATTATCAAGAGAGTATGGGTTAGATCCAAGGACTCCTGCACTGAATGAGTAAACTTTTTTGTCAGAAGGATATGACAAAAGTGGAAAGGAATCCTTGGATCCAAACCTAAGGATAACATGACAAAATCTTTGGTTTACCGAAGTATAAATAGTAAAAGTTCTTCATTCAAATATCATTTGGTACTATTGTACATTTTAAGGATAGAAAATTGTCTGATGTTCTAGTGATTGGTTGTGCTAACAGAAGTGATTAATTAGATCTATATTGCACATATATATTAACTTTCAGTTCCAGTTGCCTGAGGTTGAGAAAGTGTTCTTAAGCCAATAATAACTACCCACCACAAAATTACTATCTCTCAAAATGAATGCCTGGGACATGTACAAAGCTCAAAACATCTGACAAAACATACATTTCAATCTAGGGTGGTCATTCAGAAGCTTCTTGGATTTCTACCTTCATCTCAGCTTCCATACAAGAAAGTAAAGCGAGTTTCTTGTATAGAAATTTTGGCATTATCTTGAATGACAAATGACATACTACACGGTGCCAAGATAGATGGGGGGGATATAGTCACCCCAAACTTCAGCTTCAACTGGAGCTGCTTTGTTCTTGGTGCCCTGAATAATTAATAACTCCTTTGGCAATCAGTCATGCATTCCTTAATGGCACCTCAGGCATCAAGTGTCCCATTCACCCACTCCCCCAAGTAACAATAGACTTTACAACACTGGGTGTTCTATGCCAAGCTTGTAACTGACATAATTTAAACTAAACAAGTCAGTAGAAGGAATATTACCCAGACCCAAATTGGAATCTTTTATCAGGTTTGTTTACATAGCATATGGTTGCTATGTAAATCATATCAGTATCTAGGAGATTTGGGATAGATTTTCTTAACATAATTTTTGGCAAGTCATTTCCCTTCTTGCATACTCAAAGAACTTAACTACAAAAACGCTGTTATACAGGCCAAGACCCATAATGATTGTGAACACGATAGATGGGTATGCAAATATACTTTAGAGAATTTAAAATAATGTTTTCCAAGAATTATGTATTCAGCATGAGGTTTCCAGGACTACATGAGGTCTCTCTCTCTCTCTCTCTAAAAATATCCTCAGCAAGGGTATGTTAATTCTATCCTCCCATCAGATTTTTCAGGTTTGCATTTCTTCAAAATACAATTATAAATGCATTAGAAATGCTCAGTGTCAGGGCATTTACACCATGTGGTGCTTGAACATCATAGAAAACTACAATAAAAATTACTTCAAAATAGTAACATACCCTGTGATCTCAGTTTTGCTCAAATTCCTTTTGCATGAACTGATTTATCAGTGTCTTTCAGATACTTAATAAAAAAATTGTTTCTTCAAAACAGTTAATTTAAATGAAATAAAATTACAGTAGGATTAAACAAGAATGCTTAAAGAGGCCGGCCTAACAGTGTGCTTCTTAATGTGTGTGGTTTCCAGTAACAACCACAAGCTTGTACTGTTTTATTTCATTTCTTCCCAAAACAATTTCTTTTTTGCTAATCCACCCACTCTTCATCCAACAGAACATGGATAAGGAGAAATGGTTCACTATGTAGGACTATTCATAAAAATATATTTCAGATATGATTCAGCTCTCCTTAATTTTTTAAAACTTTCATTAATTAATTTATTTGCCTAATTAGTAATAACTCACAAACAGTTTTAACTTGAGTTCCTCTTTTCCAGTCCCCACTACTCTGATATATAATTTAATATCTTTAGCTTAGTACACATGAAAAAATCAACAGTTTTATTTGATATGATATAAGAATAATGGCTTCATATTGTTGCCTAGTTTTATGTTAGTCCTTCTTTTAATATTATTTCTTAAAAATGCAGAGGCAGAAAGAGATATGACTTACCGGTGTGAGAAGAGTATAATGAATACAGAATCCAGGCTCAGAAGGAAAGTATTCATCAGAAACAAATCTTATTCTGATTTGGTTCCCTTTGGAAATCTGTTTGCCAGGAACAGCAGTGGAACCACACCACCGCCCTAAAATACTGCCATCACTAGGCTCTTCAACTTCTACAAAGTCATACCTAAAATGAAAAAATAAAGACATCATTCACTCTGTGATCTACCCTGTACAGGCATTTTATTTAGCAAGCAGTGCAGGGAATGCACAAAACCCAAGTATAATTTCATTTCAAGCTCAATATAGTGGCATGCATCTACCTCTCGTTGTTATATATCAAACAGGCGGTACATAATCCTTTATGTGCCGGAAGACATGCCCTACTAACAATCTAGATCAGATGACTGCAATATGGGACTGTACTTGAAGAGTTTGGTATAGAATGCTTCTGCAAGAATGTCCGATGGGAGGGTAATAGGGACTGCGTCACTCCAGTCTTGCTCCATCTACACTTGTTCTTAATTTGCTTCCAGACCAAATTCAAGGTGCTAATATTGACTTCTTAAGACTTATACGGCTTGGGATCAGCATGCCTTAAGGACTGACTATTACCATATGAATCTACCTGACCATTATGGTCATCTTCAGGGGCCCTGTTTTGTGTGCTCCTATTATATCTGAGGCTAGATGAGTGGCAACTTGAGAAAGGGCCTTCTTGATTGTGGCACCAAAAATAGATTATTCTACTCCCCTCTCTAATTATCTTCTGCCAGTGGGTAAAGATCTTTTTCTTTCATTTGGCTTTCCCTTGCTTACTGGCCAGTTTATGGTATTAATTATTGTTTTATATCTATGTGTTATGTAGTGGGTTGCCGCATGGATAAACGACCGACGACGACGTGGTGCATGGCACGCTTTATTTGGTACACAACAAGAACAAGGAACAAATGGCCGGCAGGCCAACTATATACATACCTGGGGACACACCCCTGGTCATCATTGGTGGGTTTGAATCTCCCGCCATGGTTCCCATTGGTTCCCCAGTGGAGGGACTAGGAGCCTAGTCCCTATTGTTCTTCCAGAGCCAAGCTCTGGCTGTTCGCTGGCCCCCGGTGGTGGTCAGCATACACTACATCCCTCCCCCCATAGTTCGGACCCACCCTAGGTGACGTAGTCCTTCAAATACGATGGGGACCGTCACTCTCTCGTGAACAGCGGCCGCTTACCGGATGGGGCGTGGTGTGCTGCGCCAGGAGGAACTGTGCAATCCGCCGCTCCCAGTCTCCCTCCATCAGGCAGCTCAGCACTTCCTTCGTCGTCCTCACCATTCTTTCGGCTTGGCCGTTGGTCGCGGGGTGGAAGGGCGCTGACCTGATGTGCCGGGTCAGGTTGCCGCGGAGAAACTGCTGGAACTCCTCCGAAGTGAACGCCGTCCCGTTGTCCGAGACAATGGTGTCTGGCAGGCTGTGGGTGGCGAACAGCTGCCGGAGGGCGCGGATGGTGGCCTTAGTGGACGTTGTGGAAACGGGGCTGACCTCCGGCCACTTTGTGTAGGAGTCCACCGTTACCAGAAACAACCGCCCCTGGAATGGTCCGGCGAAGTCTATGTGGAGCCTGGACCACGGGGTGTGGGTGGATTCCCACGACTGTGAAGGTGCCTCCGGTGGGCTGGGTCTCACCGCTTGGCAGGTAGGGCACCGTTTCACCCACGCCTCCACCTCTGCG